CCCCTCTCCTGCATCAGGCACGGACTATTGTGACTGGCTAGACCCCTCCAGAGTCAAAAAGAAGTCCTGACTTGCCACGTTACTGAACACATCCTCCTCCAACTCTACTTCCTCATCCAACACTTCATCCTGAGGGTTGACTTCGCTGGCCACTGCCTCCAGCTCCACCAAAGTATCCACAGGGCAAAGTATCCACAGTATGGTGGTGGAGTTGGGGTTGTTGCAGAGGATGGCGTACAGCTCCTTGTCGAAACGGTATGTTTTTGGTGCTACACCAGAGTGACGGTTGGCCCTCCTTGCATTCTGATATGACTGCCTCAGCTCCTTGATCTTAGCATGGCACTGCTGCATGTCCCTTTTATACCCCTTCTCCAACGTGCCATGAGCAATCTGCCCGTAGGTATCAAAGTTCCTACAGCTGGAGCAGAGCTGCAACTGCAGAGCCTCCTCTCCCCCCAGACCCAGGAGATCCAACAACTCCAGTGTACCCCAGGCAGAAGCATGTTTGGGAGTCAGCATGGTAGGCTGGGAAGATGCAATGTGAGCTGTTCAGGCCGAGCAAACAGGAAGTAGAATTTCAAAAATTCCTGGGCCGTTAAAGGGAGCATGCCTATGTACCTGGCCGCAGGGCAGCGGAGTTCAAACTGCTGACCAGAGTGGTCACAATGGGCATTGTGGGACACATCCTGGAGACCACTTAGTGTGACATAAGCAAGTGCAATGTCTACACCAACACTGTATTGCTCTAACTTTGTAGCAAAAAGCTCTATGCCTCTCATCCAGGTGATTTTATGATGTTGGTGTAGCAGGAGAGTTAAATTGGCAGGAGGAACATTGCAGCGTGAATATCTCCATTGTTTTGTTGATGAAAGCTGATTTTTGTCGACAAAACTGTGTAGTGTACACAAGGCCTAGGAGTGCCTCCCTGACCAACTCTGAAAGCCCTTGCAGGGATTTAATTAAAAACCGCACCCATTTTGTTTGGCAGAACATCCCCATCTAAGGGTATTAGTGAAGCGGAGTGCACCATGACTACAAGGGGGCTCTGTAACATGTGTAAGCCATGTCACATAAATCACGATCTACTCTTAGGGGCTGTCTACATTAGAAAATCTTAACACGTATGAATGTGACTGGAAGCACTAGAGTAGAGGTGATGTGGCAGAGTATGGCAACAACTACAGCAAGTCACGTTGGGTATTATATCATCTAGTTCTGGTAAGATTGGGACCAAGGTTTAATCACAACTAGATAATGGTGAATAGGATTTGTCTTGATCTACGCTGTCGAAAGCCATGGTCAGTATCACATCTAGCTAGAATGCTTAGTCATATTCTGATCATTTTTTTTTAAACATAGATAAGCTCTTAGTGAACACAGTCTCATCTCAAGTGTAGTGTGGTCACTTTCTCATTTGCCCATCATGTAGCTTAGTGTATTCAGAAATTTTTCTTTCACACCTACTGTTACTTTACACTAAATTCCTTTTGGATCATGATTAGACCTGAGGGCTATTTTCAAGAGTGCAGCAGCCATGGAACACAATAAAGAATGTGTCTGATAGGATGGGTTTTATTTTATAGAAAGGATACACACTGATAAAGAGCACATTTATTGAGATCTGATTTCCTAGTCTTTATCTGAAGTGATGAATCTATGGCAGTGACTGATAAATGAAGGGATACCAAAAAGAGGAGAGAGAATGCACTGCTTTGGGACTGGTTACACGAGAGTTAAACACTACCAAGAACCATGCACATTCTGCCACATCCAGTATTCACAGCAACTTTGCACAGCTTACTTCTATTTTAAAATGGTGATTGTAAAGCTAACTTCCGGTAATTTAAAGGTGTTAAGGAAACCACTACCAATATATCCCACTGCCTCTTCAATCATGCAAAACAAATGGCCCAGGTGATGTATTGACTTTCAAGGCTTGGTTTCCTTTCCTTTTTTTTTTAAATGCACTCTTTAGCCTTTGTCTGATCATTTCTAATATGGTTTCCTGTACACTAGCATGCAATAAGGCTGCCAATTAGCAGCAATAGTACAGGTGTTATTGGGTGGATCAGCTGCACAATGCCAGCTGGCTTTAATTCACACTACTCTCTTTGGGTATGTAGAGATTACCCACCACACACATTTATAACAGAGATTACGAAATGCAACTTTAATTTATTTAAATTTTAACCCTAAAGGTAATTCCAATAATTTAATAGCAGCCTAAAAAATGTATTGGAGTCAATACCTCAACCTCTGCAGTAGCATAATTACTAGTCTCCTTTTACAAAAAGTAGATCAGAATTGAGGAAAAAAATTAGGAACAGTAAGTGTACAAGACTTCCAGTCTACACAAGGAGCAGAGTGGATCAAAACTTTTCTTTGTCCTGCCATCAAACAATTGATGGTGTGCGACTTGGCTAAGAAGTTTAAATGCAAGGGTCCATATGGGGATTCTTGTACAGCACATACACATGAAAACACTGATGACTAGGCCAGAGATAAAAAACCCACAACTTCGGGAAACTGTTTGTTTTTAGTTACTGAATTTGTTATTCCTTCCTCAAGTCCTCCTACATTCTCTGGGTCCCCATCCCTGGAGGTCAATGATGAGTATAAAGGTGTGCAGGAATGCCTCAACATTAATCCTGGCTGTTGTCATTCAGCAGATGCCATCCAGGTTCCAATCAGCAGGTCTGTGCTCTGGTTGCCCATCCTGGACCACAGAGAACAGAACATTAGCCGGCTTTAAAAGGGCCAAAGTTTCAAGCATGGTGAAGGATTTGACTCTCCCTGTCCAGTGCAGTGGAGTATGAGAGTGGCCTAGCCCAACCTCAAACAGAACTGAAATCAGTTAGCTACTTCAAAGTGTATATTTAGTCTTGTTCTGAAAATGTAATTGTATTGTTGACAAACCCATTCTCTCTCTCGGTTATTGTCAAGGCTAATGGTTTGTCACACAGTCATGGGGTGAGGTCACCTGCACTTGGAGTTTTCTTATGTTTACTCTATAACTTGTGACTTTTGCTGCCCCCACCACCCAGCTCAGACTCTTTATATATAGTTTACAATTTCAAACCTCTGATGACCATTAGTTCTACAGGTAACATTTTCCATGTTTTCTGATATTGGCTATATCAAAAAGTTATTTTATTCAAAAGTTAATTTAAGTATAAGCATAATAATACATGTAGGTACGTAGTGTCCTTCTGGCAAAACCTGTAAACTTATTATTGCCTTGGAGAAGAACTATACATGGACATGACAGCAGCATAAGCAAAGTTAGAAACACGTTATGTACCAAGGATCAAAAGACAGGTTTAATGTCTCAACATTCTGGCACACCTTCAAATCCCTCTACCCCCCCTGTAGAGTACAGGGGGCAGAACTACCTGCTGTGCGGCAAAGTCACTTATATTTTGTTGGAAAGAATTAGAAGATTTATTTCAATCACCTCCAAGAATAGAAAAAAAACATGTACATCTCAAGGCCAAGATTTAAATTATAGATTGAGTGGCTCTAAGCAAGTCGTTCAACACAGCAATGTTTAGTTCTGTGTGATTGAGTGATTAGGATTTCCTTTTACTACATGGATGGAAAAGCAGTATTTCCTGCTGACCTTTCCCTTCAAAAGAAGCTATGCCTGATTACAGCTTAAGATTTCAGGAGGCCTAACCAAGATAATATAGGGAGCATCAGAAGTGCATGCAAAGCTCATGAGAATATTTTGTAATTAGTTACTCATTTTAGCAGTTCCACTTGTGTGAGTACATACAATACTACAGCTAATTATTTCAGAAGAGACAAAGAAAGAAATCACACTGGAAACAGGAACAGTAAGGGACTTGAACAATGCTACAGTTAGCAGCAAAAGCAGGAGTAGAATCCAGATCTCCTAACCTCCCAAATCTGTGCCTTAACCAGAAGGCCCTCCCTTTCTCTCTCTTCATTTAGGTGCTTTTCTATCTGTTATTGCTAGCTTTCCCTTTTTGACATCCCTGTGTAACCAGAAACAACAACAAAATCATAAACCATACTGATGGAACGAAGAAAAATGAACCTAATAGGAGAACCCCAAAGGGAATTCTACAGTCCTCTCTCTTTTGAACTTGTTTGCCTTTTAAAAAATAAATAAATAAAGTGCTCAGATACCATGCTCCTCACAGTACAGATAACTAAACAAGAAGAGTGTTCTGACATCTCTTTTATTACATGAGTAAACACACGCTCTCTCTCACTCTCTCTCACACACACACACACACACACCCTCTTCTGTGCAGATCAGCCTGCTAGCTTCAGCATCTCCTACCCCCTTTAAAAGCAAGTAGCTCTGCATAGAAAGCTGTGTAATAGACAGCCTGCAAATAAATGGTCATTGGGTTCAGATACAGAAAACTTTCACACTTTATTGACAAAAATATAGACACAAGGTCTCTGTCCAGAGGAACTTACAATCTAACTTGTTTAATTTTCAATCACTGAAGTTATTTTTATGATTAATAACTCTTGAACCAGGATGGAAATTTCAAATGAGGATTTTCATGATATCTAGCACCCAGAAGCAAAAGGCCTGATCCTGTGTGGTGCTTGATAATGAATGAGGCAGGGCACTGCAGAAAGAGAAAGGATAGCCTCATGGTTAATGATGTTGGACGCTGCCTGAGGAACTGGATTCTATCCCTCCTTCTGCCATAAAGTTCCTGTGTGATACTAGACATGTTGCTTATGCCAAACTTTTCACAGATGGTTACTAATTGTGAGTCCCTCATTTTCTAATTGCCTGACTCCAGGACCAGCCTTAGGCCTGGGCAAACTGGGCGAAAGCCCAGGGCATCATTATAAACAGGCACCTCTGGAGGAGGGATGCCCCTCCCCCCTGCAGCTCCTGCCTGCTGCCTTGGAGCCACCCCGGCCAGCTGCTTCTGGGAGCTTCCTGTCTGCTGTAAGGAGAGACGGAAGGAGGGGGGAGTGGGGGCTCTGATGTCAGGGTGTCCCCTGCCCTCATGTACCCCATCTCCGCAGAGCGAGGGGGGCATGCGGGGCCAGGGCTCATCAAGAGACGGACGGAGCTGCTGGCAGATGCTGTTGCTGTGTCTGAAGGAGCTTTCATTCAGACTGGTGAGTGTCATTCTCTTAAAGGGGCACAGCTCACACACTCCCCCAAACCACACACACTGTCTCTTTCACATACACATCCCAACATATACTTATACTGTTGTTGTTACTTCCTGCAATGCACATATATTCTATGTAATTTTATTCTTTCCAAGTGCTGTTATTTTAGTTTTTTGACTGCTTACATTTACTTCTTTGAGTAGTGAGTTCTAAAGCGCCTAACCTGTCCTGGCTGGAGTAATTATCATTATTACTTTTATTAGCATATTGTGCTTTGTCATTCATTATTTAAAGTAGTACAATCAAATAATAGCATCCTCCTAGAATGTAACTTTAGCTTGTACTAACCTTAGTGGTGCCAGTTTAAAAAAACATTAGCTAAACGCACAGCTTTAGACACTGGGCAGATGAAGGTTGCTTATTTTCAAATGTATTTTTAGTTACATCGGTTAAATAACTTCAAATTTGCATGAAAATAAATGCAGTTCCAACTATGATACCAATAGCAATTATGGAGTCAAATATTAATGAGTCACATACATGATTGTGATTGGTAAACATAACATATAGAGCAGATAATGGCAGTAATACAGTGCGTCTGTTAGAGAAAGTAAGCAGATTTTATTAATTTTTATTTATCTCTACTAAAGATAGTATACAAAGTATCAGATGTGTCTTTCTGATATCTGCGTTAAAGCTCCAGAACTGATACCTCAAGGTTTGGGATTAGGAATATCTTGCTGTATTATCTCCTGATTGTTTTAAATTTACATATAAACTTTAAACGTGGCTTTAACTGGAGTTTGTATATATTTTTCTTTCTTTATATAACAATTAGATACAGTGCTTCTGTCAGCTAATTCCTAAGTTATTATCTGCAAAAACTCTAGAGTGTTCAGGTGCCTAAGTAGTCCCTAGAATCATAGCTAAAGTTTCCTCCCAGCCCCCCAAAATCTGAAATGGTGCCCCAGGTGTGACAGTGCAAAGCCCCCCTTAAGCCAATTGCCAAGCACCAGGCACCACAAGCCACAGCAGCAGCACAGAAGGGTGGCAATACACCATATACCATGCCACCCTTACTTTTGCAGTGGTGTTGCCTTCAGAGCTTGGTGCCTGGCTAGCACCCGCCAGCATCAGGCTGCCCTGCCAGTGCTTAATTTGTGCCAGGGCTGAACTCTAGCCTCTGGTATCTCTTTCAATACAAATTAAACACTGGGTGAGGCAGTGGGGCCAAAAGGTGATGGGGGTGGAAAATCCCAGGGAGTCTATGGGGGCCAGAAGCGATGGGGGGGCACCAAAATACAAGTTCGCCCAGGGTGCCATTTTCCCTAAGGCCGGCCCTGCTTAAGACAGTGGGGTCTGATTTGCAGAAGTCCTGAATAGTGTGCAGTTATTAAGGCCAGAGGACCATACACTGAATGAGGAGAAAATAAAATATTTAATAGTTGCTTATTAAGTAAGCATCATCCATCCTGTGCACTGAATGAGACAGCAGTCCTATGAGAAAAATAGAATGTGATCACATAATTAAAGACTGTCAGTGGACACACAGAAGGGGGCTGAATCAACATCGTACAAACTTTCTTAACTCTGGCATTTCCTAACTTTTGAGTGCTTGACTTTGCAAACTTAATGTTCTCTTAACATAGCTTTTGTGTGTGGGTGTAAATTACACACACACACCCCCTACAATTTTCAGAACACGTTATAGTAAAGTTATAAACCAAACTAAGATTACTTTTATTAGAATTAGAGGGTGCCTTGTTCACAGTTCAAATATCAAGCACATAATTGCTTTTGTCAAGACAAAACTTGGAAACTACGTGTCTACACAACAGGAAAGCTAAGTCTTTTGTTATTGCATTACTGCTTTTCCAAGTAGTTAAAAAGGAAGCTGTCAGGCCACTATTTTTATTGGTTTTATTATTTTTTACCTCAGGATTGTTTGTAAAACTCTTCCAGAACCTTGAAAAGATAATTATGTTCCCTGTCCATTTTGTTCTTTTCCATCTAGTAAACACACTGATTTTTTTTTCCTGGTTCAGACTGAGCTGAAAACATCACCAATGTTTTTAGCTTAAGCACAACTTCAGTTTAGTGTCTCTTATCATTCTACAACAGGTTTTGTCTGCTCAGGAACATCACCACTGTCATGGGAATAATAGCTTTGATTCTGGGTTGGTGCCAAGCTCAGTCTGACTTTGCTCAGAGGGGAGTGCTGTCTGCCACCTTTACACTATATCTCAGACTCTATAGCAGGGGTCAGCAACTTATGGCACGCGTGCCAAAGATGGCACACGATCCAATTTTTAATGGCATGCTGCTGGCAGCCGAGTCCCAGCCACCGGCCCCGCTCAGCCCGCTGCTAAACCCAGGCCGGGACCGCAGCAGGCAGCAGTGTGCCATTAAAAATCATCCCCCCCCCCCCCCTGCTGCAGAGCAGGCAAGCTCCCCCCTCCCCCGCCTCTTCCCCTTGAAGTTCCTGCCCCTCCTCCTCTCCCTCCCTGGCCGATCAGCTGATGGCCCTTGCGAGGGAGGGGGAGAAGCGGAGAAGAAGTGGGGAGGGGCCTTGGGGAAGGGGGGTGGAATCAGGGCATATCCCCTCCAGCCCCCTGCCATGAGCTGCTCTGGGCAGGAGGCTGGGGGTGTGGGTTGGGGTTGTGGGGATGCTCCCAGCCCCCTGCCCTGAGCCCTGCACACACCCCCCACACACTCACACCCAGCCCTCTGCCCTGAGCCCTGCACCCCCCCACACACACACCCAGCCCTCTTCCCTGAGCCCTGCACCCCCCCCACACACACACCCAGCCCTCTGCCCTGAGCCCTGCACCCCCCCACACACACCCAGCCCTCTGCCCTGAGCCCTGCACCCCCCCCACACACACACCCAGCCCTCTGCCCTGAGCCCTGCACCCCCCCCACACAAACACCCAGCCCTCTGCCCTGAGCCCTGCACCCCCCCACACACACACCCAGCCCTCTGCCCTGAGCCCTGCACCCCCCCCACACACACACCCAGCCCTCTGCCCTGAGCCCTGCACCCCCCCCACACACACCCAGCCCTCTGCCCTGAGCCCTGCACCCCCACACACACACACCCAGCCCTCTGCCCTGAGCCCTGCCCACCCTCCCCCCCACACACACACCCAGCCCTCTGCCCTGACCCTTACACCCCCCCACACACACACCCAGCCCTCTGCCCTGACCCTTACACCCCCCACACACACACCCAGCCCTCTGCCCTGACCCTTACACCCCCCTCACACACACCCAGCCCTCTGCCCTGACCCTTACACCCCCACACACACACACCCAGCACTCTGCCCTGAGCCCTGCACCCCCCCACACACACACCCAGCCCTCTGCCCTGAGCCCTGCACCTCCCCACACACACACACAGCCCTCTGCCCTGACCCTTACACCCCCCTCACACACACCCAGCCCTCTGCCCTGACCCTTACACCCCCCACACACACACCCAGCCCTCTGCCCTGAGCCCTGCACCCCCACACACACCCAGCCCTCTGCCCTGAGCCCTGCACCCCCCCCACACACACCCAGCCCTCTGCCCTGAGCCCTGCAACCCCCCCACACACACCCAGCCCTCTGCCCTGAGCCCTGCAACCCCCACACACACACCCAGCCCTCTGCCCTGACCCTTACACCCCCCACACACACACCCCAGCCCTCTGCCCTGAGCCCTGCAACCCGCTCTCACACACCCAGCCTCCTTCCCTGACCCCTGCACCCCCCCGACCCCAGCCCTGACTCCAGTACCCCCCACACATACCCAGTCCCTCCACACCCTATGCCCTGACTCCTGCACACCCCACACATACCCAGGTCCCTCACACCCCATGTCCTGACTCTTGCACCCCCCACATTCCCACCCTCACCCTGAGCACCAAACGGGAGCTCCTGCACCCCTCCCCCCCACCTTCCCACCTGCAAACCTTGCACCAAATGGGAGCTGCCCAGGTAAGCACTCCATACTCAAACCCCAACCCTGAGCCCCCTCCCTCATTCTAGCTCCTGGCCAGACCCTACACCCCAACCCCCCAGCCTGCTCCTTCACCCCCAGCCCTGTGCTCAGTGCACTCCCACCCTTAACTCAGTGCAGAGAGAGGAAGAGAATGGGCTAGAACCAGGGAGAAGGTAGGTACCCACTCTATGTGGGAAGGGCCGGGATCCCAGACTGGCAGCGGGCTGAACGGGGCCGGCAGCCGGAACCCTGGCTGGCAGGAGCCAGAGGACTGAACCCCAGACCGGCAGTGGCCTGAGCCGCTCAGCCCACTGCCAGTCTGGGGTCCCGGCTGCCAGCCCTGCTCAGCCCACTGCCGGTCTGGGGTTCTGGCTGCCAGCCCCTTGCCAGCCGGGGTCCCGGCCGCAGGCCCTGCTCAGCCTGCTGCCGGCGTAGGTGAACAGAACCCCAGGCTGGCAGCGGGCTGAGCGGGCCGGCGGTGTAAGATCAACATTTTAATTTAATTTTAAATGAAGCTTCTTAAATATTTCAAAAACCTTGTTTACTTTACATACGACAATAGCTTAGTTATATAATATACAGACTTATATATAGAGAGACCTTCTAAAAATGTTAAAATGTATTACTGGCATGCGAAACCTTAAAGTGAATAAATGCAGACTCGGCACACCACTTCTGAAAGGTTGCTGACCCCTGCTCTATAGGCAGCTTGGGAACAGAGCTGTCCCTGGCGTAAACCGGAGTGGCCCCAAGGACTACGCTCATTTATGCTATGTTACTATGGCCTTTCTTCCTCCCTTGGTGCACCACACGCTAGCATACCCCTGCACCATGGAGCTTTGTGATGGTAGTGCAATCAGAGCCATTCCACTGGCCCTACACAACTGAGGAATCCCCTTACACTGGTTTTATACTAGCTTTGCTGCCCACCAAGCTGGCATACATGGGCTGCCACGGAGGCCAAAATCTGGCCCCGTGTCTGTAGCCTCCTTTAGACAAATGACAGGAAATGCGGGATAGG